CCATGGCAGGTATGAAGATTGCAGGAGGTAGCAGTTGGATAACCACAGTGTGAAGGCTCAAAGTTCTAGAATTATTTTTGACTTGAATTTTAAATCACTGTTTAGTTGAAACTGCTCTGGAAAAATAAGAAATACTACAGGTTTTGGTGTTTAGACTCAAAGCTGGAGTTGATACACAGGAAAGCTGACAACCGCCGTGTAAAGCAAACTGGAAATAATTTTCCTGAAATACAAATGGTAAATTATACTAAGATAGTTTTATGTATCTGGCTCTTATTCCTTAATACCTAAATGAGTTAGAACATACCAGTTGGCTGCCATATAGAGTTGTTGCATAGATAGTTGTCCTAGACCCTCTGCAGGCCGCTGAGTGAGCGAGTCTGTCACGTTCACAAATGAAATAGTTTCAGAGGAAACTATTTAAGTGATGTTACTTCATTTGCACTAGTTTCTTTTATTTTTCTTTCTCTTTTTTTTCCCCACAAGAGCTAGTGATTCAACAGCAATAGAAGTTAACTGCTTAATTTATTCTCAGTGCAGTGCTCAGATTAATAAAAAAAATCTTGTTATAATGTGAACAATTGCAGCAGTCAGTGCTTCAAAATGTACGTTTTAATTTCTCCCTTCAGTAGATACTTCAGTCATTCAGCACTTTAGAAATACACTGCAATATGACTATAAATTTTGTGATCAATCAAGGCACTTGTTGTAAGATTGTTAACTACCTAGAATTTGTGTTATTAAATACACAGATCCAAATTTAAAGAATATCCAAAACAAACACAGATATCCAGAGTCAAGACTTCAAGAACAGACATTGCTTTTTAAATATGCATTACAAATCCGATAAAGTAAATAAAAGTTCCTGCTGCGGTGGTTTAGAGCTTTCAGACTCTTTCTGAAGGCCAAGTATTTAAGGAATTAATCGTTTTTCATTATTTTATCTTTTCAATTCAAGTAAAGATATTTTGCAAGACTGAAAAAGATAAAGTATATGCTGGACTGCAGATGAGATGAAGTTGGTCCCTGACTTTAGTCTCCCTTAGCTTTTGAAGAGCTCTATTGATTTGCTGCTTAAGATGCTAGACATGCACCTGATACTGGATTCTAGGTGAGCTCTGGAATTCAAATGTGTCTGTTTCCGTGTTCCAAATGGTAACAGTGACTTTCCTGACTCTCTCACAGCATTCTCCAAAGCTAATTCTGATCTGACTATTTCTGCCTCATACTCTCCAATCTACTTTTGAAACGGAGTTTGTCACTTAAATATGCGCTTCTCAGGATTTAACAACCTGTTCAGAAGTTAATACTGTAACTTCTTTTTGTTTATGATGCAAAATGGTTAATAATTACCTCAGTCCCTGAAGAAATAGTGCAATTTCTGACTTGGCAACTTTTGGTTGTATGTTAATCTAGTGGTTTGAAAAAAACAATGAAAGCAAACCTCACAGTGTCTTCTGTCATAAATTACTGTAGCTGACTTCTCACGCATTATTTCTTACTTTACCAATAACTGAATGGTCCTTTAAATAAATAAAAATAAAAAAGCTATTTCATTTGTACCTGGTGACACGTAGAAATACTGTATGGACTTACCATCTGTTGATGGGTTACAAATACATGTCCCTTGTCTACAGTACTCTAGCCTCATATTTTGAAGGCATAACAATAAATTCTGCTTTAAGCACAAAGCAAACAAAAATCCCACCTAAGTTTGAAGCATAACTTAAATATTGTCTTTCATTTTATTAAGGTAGATAATGATGGTGGAAGATTTTAGCAAACACATCCACAGATTTAAGACTTATAACATGTTTGCAAGATAACACGCACTCAGTGGCTTGTGTGCAGGTGCTCCAGTTTGCAAAGCAGCATAATGAGCAGCTCGTGAGGATGGTTTTCCCAGCTGCTAAAGGATTTTGCTGTCTAGCAATGACTTTCATGGTCTAAATGAAGGTTTTAGAGCATTTTTTTGAATATTCTAGCAATGCTAGCTTTTTTCTAAAATACCAAGACACCAAAGGTGAAGTGCAACTAGATCTGGCTCTATGCAGTAGTTATGAGTGTGACACCGAAACGGAGAACTGCCGTTTTTCCAAGAAGATCACATCGGCTAACCTGAGACTGCATTTCTATGTAAAATAGCTGAGATACCCAAGATTTATATAAGCTTTTCTGTAGGAGCCTTCTTGGCCTCTACCAGAGTTACTGTGTAGTGGATGACATAGAAACAGTCATCTAATAAATATGATTTTGGATATGTTAAATCAGCCAAATAATTTTTGGAGGTGTTAAGATGTTGAGATTAGACGTTTAGTGTTTAACTGCTGTATCTATAATATTTGATATTTTCACCTTGAAATATGTAATGACCCCTATTTTCAAGAGCACTAGGATGTATGTGTAGAAGCCTTCAGAGCAGTGAGGAGTTTGCAGCGTTAACATTTAAGGCTATACATCTCGTAACGGATTATCGGTGAGATGCTGAGGGCTAAACGTAGTGTTTGATCACATAATTGTTCTGTCTAGTGCTCCCTAGTTACAAGTGCTTTGTTTTGCAATGCCACTAGTGTTAATTCTGTATGTGGCTTATGTGTAGCATGCACAATTTTTTCTTTTTAATACATGACTTGTTCAGCAGTAGATTATTGCCTTTTTTGCATGGAAGATGAATAATCCGCAGACCATAAAACTTGAGCTGCTGTTAAAACAGGCTTCTCTTAGTACTGCTTTGTAGCAAATATGTGAAACTTGGTCTAGTAGAATGCTATAGAGTCTACCAAAGTGATCACTGGTGTTGTCACTAAAGTGAATTTAGGGAAGGCAGGAACATAAATTTCTTGCCTAATCTTGTAACTTGATTTTTTTTTTTTCCCCCACCTCAGTGTATAAACTTGCGGTAAAAACAGAACGCATGTAAGTATAGATAGGATGCCTGTCACCTCTGCTTTATTGATGTTAGCCTTGGGTACGATGGCCATTAGAATCAGTGAATCTTTAACCTCACTTCCCAGTTATATCTAGTCTGCATTTCAGTAGTTGTTCTGTTGTCATTTTGCTGCCACCTTTCTGATATTACATTGATTTTCTCTGTTTTGCGTTACTTGATGTGAGACTCTGAGTTAAGTTTTGCAACAATTTGATTCTTGGAGCCTCAGCTGCCATGCAGAGACTTCCAGCAATCTGCTTATTGCGTTCTTATCAATAGTCTAGTCATATATTGAGTCCAACTACACTTACTATTCTAAAGTAACTTCTTACTAACATTCCATCTAGCGAATAATTGGGTTTATCTGATTTTTTTATTTCTTTTTACCTGGTCAAATTTCGTTGGAAATGAATTTTCTGTTTATCAAATTAAGTTCTTGTAAGGGTACTTGGACTTTCACATTCATGGGTACACACTGGACTCAAAATGTGCGTGTCTGGAGTATTAAGAAGAAATCTTTGTTAACTTACATTTGCTAATCCGCTCCAAAGTACATTAAGCATCAACACAATGATGTGTGCATTGGTAAATTTTCATCCTAAGCAACAATATTAATTTTTTAACTTTACAGAGTGATGAAGTATTGCATCAGTGTTTACTTACTGTGTAGCTGTGCCCCCGAGTGCAGAAGTGCATGCAGCACGCATCTTCAGGTGTCAGTTTTCCTGATTATTTGGGTAAAGGGGGTTCGTAAAAATAAACATTCGTACTATTCAAGTCTTTATTATTTTAAAAGCTGCCTTAAACTGAGAGCATCTAAAAGCAGAAAAAAAGTTACTTTTCCAGTACTACTTTTCTTGAAGAATTACATGGATAAAAGTATTTTTGGAAATAAAGAGTTTAAAGAGAGAAATTAATGACATACCAGCTTTAGTAGATTGTGCATTACAACGATCACACAAATTATGTATTCACAGAGAGTGAAATGTGTTTGGAAATGACTTAAGGTACAACAGCAGATAAATAGCACGTAAATAATACAGAGTATGACTATAGAAAGCATTTAAATCTGCCTATAAAAGTTTCATGGAGGTTAAAAGTTATACTGATGAAAATGTATTTGTTTAGAGAGTAAGTCTTAATACAGGAAGAAAACTTTCCTGCTGTTGAAAAATTAGCTCTCATGTGTAAGTACTCTTTGAAAATCTGCTGCTGAGTTAAGGATACACTAATCGGAGTGTTTTATATTGCTTTTTTTTAAAAAAAAAGGCGGAGCAGTCTTGCATGACTGACTTTGTGGTTATTAACATGTATTTTGCTTATTAACAAATAAGATCATTCATATTTATCGTCTTTAGCCTGTAGTACTGAATATTTGCGGGATTGCGTTGTGATCTTTAGTTCCTTAATTCTTATAACTAGATTTTTCACAGACTAGTCTATGATTTGATGGGTTTCCTTTCTCAGTGCAGTAAGTGCATATACTTAGATCAGCTGACTGGAAATTGGGAATGGAATGTTATGGAAGGTAGTGGTGTTATACAAGTGACCTACATGTGACATGGTGTGAGAAGTCTGGAGAAACCTGTATTTTTTTAATCACCAACACAAAAGTCAGTCTGAAGTAACAGATTTTTTATAAAAAGGTACGTAAATGGACTTAGAAAGTGTGTTTGGGGTTTTTTTGTATGAAACTACAAGAAGACAAATCAATAAGAGGCTAGGTATGAGAAACTTCAGTGTCAGGAAAAGAGAACAGCAAGGTGATTGTGGAATGCAAATGGAAAGACTTTTGGGTTTAGTTCTGGTTTTTTACAGGATGTTGGCAAGTTAAGCTGATAATGAGTAAAATATATCCAATTCTGAGTAGCGTAATGCTTGTTTGGCATAGTACCATCATTTTGTCACTGAGGAATGTGCTTTCAAGTATGTTGCCTACTGTCAGAATCGGTGACACGTATTTATTTTGTGGAACTTTGCACCAGCAAACCAGCTACTGATGGTGAATTAAACAGCATCTTCCTCAAACATTAAGCCCATTTCAGTTACGTTTCCTCTTTTGTATGTTCAGTGACAAACAAGAAACCAGCTCAAGCGTCTATTACGAAGGTGAAGCAATTTGAAGGCTCTACGTCTTTTGTCAGGAGAACGCAGTGGATGCTCGAGCAGCTTCGCCAGGTCAACGGTATAGACCCTAATCGGGTGAGTTTGAGCAGTTCTAGAAAGTGGAAATTGGGCTCTTTTATAACTGCTTTGTGAATTTGACATTCTTTGACTATTCAAAAGGCATCTGGAAAGATAGGATACAGGTTTAAGTGCATGAAATACATGAAAGTTCATGGAATACATGAAATAGATTTTAATGGGAAAAATGGGAGGAGACAAAAGCTCATAGTCACATGGCTTTTTTTCTTCCTGTCTTTCTCTACTTATCTTTGTACTCTTTCTCTCTCTACTTTGTAAATGAGAAAACCAGGAGCCTTGTTTGCCTTGTCTTTAGCTCTAAGCCTCTTGGGGTACATTTTGGCATGCAGCTGTATTGTAAGATAGAGCGGTAAGTAGAAGCAAGGACGAGAGAGGTTATTTAAGTTCAAGTTTGTGAAATACTGAGAGCCTTGCACTTTTTTCTAGGACAGTCCTCTCACCAGGTCCTTCTGCATTTTTATCTTTTTCCATAAAGGGTGTTGGTGTGATTCAGTTGCCAAAAGCAAGTGAATGCCAATATAAACAAAAAACAACCTCCCACTAAATAGTTCTGGAATTACTCCTTTTAATGTAGAATATACAGCTTGCCCTGAGCTGCCGCAGGACAAAGGCGTACTAATGTGTACTAAGCTTATGAGTACAAATATTCAGTAGTAAAACAGCAGAATTAGTAGGAACGTGGCTCATACTATGTGATTACAGTAACTGGGACTTACTGTGTTCATTGTACAGCAAAATGTTTGTGACTGGCCTCCTCCGTTGGTCCAAAGCTCTGCTCTGCTCAGTCACGTCAGCATCCTAAAACTGGTGCACCAAATTCTGCTAGTGCCCACTACACTTTCATACAAAAAAAAAAAAAAAAATTAACCGTTAGGTCACTGCCCTGTGAAATGCAGAGAGTGAAATTACATTTTCTCTGGGCCGAGGCATACTGAAAATGAGAGCAATTCCAAATAGGTAAGGGGTATGAGCTTTAGGCCATTTCCCAGCACCTGCTATTGAGCTGTGTAAATAACAGATACTTGGGATACTCTCACATTGAAAGTCCTACCACGTTCTTAAGCTTAGGCATGTTCCTTTCAAACTTGTCCTCTGTTGAATTCCTAGTGTTAATCGATTTTATCTCTTTTTTTAAAAACAAGAAATTACTAGACTAGATTACAAAACATTTAGCAAATACTGCTAAATATACAGCAATACTTCTTGCATAAATTCATTTTATTTTGGCAGTTGATGCACAGTATAGAGCAGGGATTTCATTTGTTCTGGGAGTGCTCTTTTGTTCGTGTTATCCTGAGACCTATGCAACACTTTGTGCTGATACAGTCAATAGAGTAACTATGACTTGCTGTTTGTTTTCCTTTGGTTGAGCATCAAGAGCAGAATCACATCTTCTATAATATAGTGTGCAAGTAGATTTTGTGCTGAGAGGAACAAATCCTTGCATAATATAGTAGACACAAATAACTATATATCTGTAGGTAACTATTTCTTATAAGGTTCCACCTTTTAATCTTTTCGTCTAAATTATTTTTATTTTCAGGTATTCTTGTTATAGTTGAATATTCCTTATTAAAAATACCTGCAAGAAAAAAAAACAACCAAAAAACCAAACAACTTTCTGTCTGTTGGTTTTTTGCATCTGAAAGTATTCAAAGGAAAAGTAATCTCAGGATGGTATTGAGTTGCATGACCTTTCTGCATTTTCCAGCATAACACCTTTTAAAAAATAACTCTAAATCATTCTTCAAGTCATTTATAAAACTAGAATAAGAGTAATGTGGTTTTTATTTTTTCTTCTAGGATTCCCCAGAATTTGATTTACTGTTTGAAAATGCTTTTGACCAATGGGTAGCAAGCACAGCTTCAGAAAAATGCACATTCTTTCAGGTTCTACATAACACTTGTCAGCGATACCTTACAGACAAGAAGCCAGAATTTATTAACTGCCAATCTAAAATTATGGGAGGTAAGTCAGTCAGAGCTGGAATACTTTGGGCAGCTGGACATGAAATGATTTGCGTGTGTTACTCTGTGTTCAGATGAACTGGCAGCCTTACTTACATCTTGAAATCATGGGTCGGACTGTGCTGACTTGACGGTAGGACAGTTTTAGACTTCGCCACTTCTTCATCAAGCACGACTTCACACCCTTCTGCCATCTTTGCTTTCTAATCTTCAGTTCTAGAGGAAATATTCCCTACCCACCTTGTGAGAAAGTCGTTCTCCTCCCTCTTCTTATCAACCTTCATTTTGATTCATCTCTCTACTTCTGCTCATCCAGAAACATTTCTGGGTGCCCTGAAATATTTCCTACAGAAAGCCTGGTCTGCATTGCTATTTCTTCACAAGTCTGAAAAAGTGGTTATTGCTAAACTTCCCGTGATATTTTTTTGGAATTACTGTGATCGGTTAGCTTAGAATTTTGTTATATTTCAAAAGTCACGTAAGTTGGTGTGAATTTCCAGGATTAGACTAGAAAACATTTGATTAGGTAAGAAAAATCTATTCAATATGTGAAAATGGTATTTACCTTCCACTTGCTGAGAAAAAAAACCTGTTGTGGGAGAGGATTTTCATGTATTTCACAAAGTATTCTTTAGGAAAATAAACTTACTTGTTCCCTTAGACTGAAATTTCTGAAAATAGACTCATTTTTGTCTGCTCTAAACCAGAACACTTTAAAAAATATTTACACTGCCTGTGTTCTTCACAGCTGGAGTAAAAAATTGTTTTTCTCAATGAGTTTCCAAATGGTAGAAGAGAAGTGCAAACTGACTTGGGGTTTTGTTTAGTTGTTGTTGTTCCTCCTCAAGAGCGAGAAGTCTCCTACCAAGCCTTTGTTTGTCATTTGTTTGCTAGTAAGTCAGTATTAATAAACCACCACACACTTTAGCCTCTGAAATTATTTTATTGTCAGAAGCTTGACCTTTCCAAAATGGAATTCCTGATTCAGCTGACCCAAATATTAACCTTTATCCTAAACAGATGTGATCACGGCAGAGGGGGGGAGAGGGTGAAGTGGAATTGCCACTTAGGTTCATAAACTTCTGCTTGACTTCTACTTTTTTAACACGAGCCAGACCCTCCCATGTCCCATGAAGGATAACCACATTCTCTTTATTACAACTTGATGGTTACAACAGGCCTGTTCAGCCATCCTCCCCTGTCAGGGGGTGCCTGTTCCTGTATTCCTGCCCTGTTATTTTGCCCATGCACAGACATACGTGGTCTGTGTCTGCACACACATGGTAAAGACTATGGAGTAGTACGGGGCCAGGGATTGATAAATCTCCTCTCCTCATGGATACAGTGCTTCTGCTGTTCTTCACGCTGTCATCTTTTTCCTCACACTGGGTTACAGACTCTGCGCGGATAAGTTTAATTTTGACAGAAACTACAAATAACTATAAATCAACTAATAGTTGATTCTAAATTCCAGTGACTTTCTGTGTGTCAACCTCACCAAGAAATGGGAAGTTTACCAAAATTTTCTTTTAAAAGTCCCCATTAGCAAATACCCAATATTAATAATTAGGAAAGGCAATGTCTTAGTATTGGAAATTGTCTTGTAATACATAAGATGCATAGTCTGTTTAAACATCTGCCATTCCGTTCAGGATTCAGATTGGTGTTCTTGGTACAATGCTAAGTTTTCTACAGAAATACTATACCTGTACTACAAATAGAAGCTTTAGTGATGTATTCATGTGTGCAAATAAATTCTTACTCAGCTCTAAAACCATTAATACCCATGCTGATATTTCTTACATTATGAAAAATAAATGAGCATTTCAAACTAAACTTCTTTGAATTGTGGAAGAACAATAGTTTTCTGCTGTGCTGTTTAGCATTTTTCCGAATTTCCTAATGTATTACTTTAAAGGTATTTGTCTAGTGGAGCTGTGCTTCCTCCCCTGATTAAAAACAAATGAATAACTGTCCTAGTAGCTTTGAAGTATCTCCCAGTTAAGGGCAGGTCTGCTTGCTAATAGGGAGTCCTGTGAAGTTAGTTCAGTCCCTGGGTCGTGTTAGTTGGTCTGTTACTTGGTGGCAAGTGCAGTAGTTCAGTGACCAGCAGCAGCACCACGCATTGACTTTAGAAGCAGTTCTGCGAGTTGGAAGTTGGTCAGGCACAAAGCCCAGGGTTAGCCAACAATGGATCAAAACCCATTTAGTCTGAAATCTGCTGTATAACACTTTTTTTTTAGGGAAAATACAGTGCAACATGTTGTCAATCTCTGATTCATCCTGACTGGAAAAAGCGAGTTCCAGCTGTAGCCAGGCAAACCAAAGAACATATACCTGAGGATACAGCTTGAAATAATTTGAATTCGGTTCAGAATTTGCAACTTGGTTTTCTTGTTGTTACCGTTTTGTTGCGGTGCATGTGGAAGGTAGTATTTTTTTTCGATACCTTACAATTTATTTTTAAAATATAATAATAGAATATATATGTACATAAATCCACATGCTTGTGTGTAATGATACATAGATATGCGTGTCATATATGTAACATTTATCTTGTAGCTAATGCATATTTTCCGAAACAAACAAACTCCACCAAAGAACAGTTCCTCCCAAGTGGAGCTGAAGATGAAAGAACTTGAAGGGATTGTTTACAAGCTTACTTATCTTATTGGGCCTTGTTCCTTCCTAAAGGGTAGGAGTGAAGAAAGTGAAATTCATGCTGCTCCTGTTTCTGCAGGAAGCACGTAGGAGCTTAGACGTAAATAAATACGGGTGTCCCTGTGGAACTGCAGACCCTTCCCATTGCCTTCTTCCTTTTTCCTCCTCCCACACACACACACTTTCCCCTCCAGGACAGAGCCCTGCCCTTGATTCTTCTTCTCCAGAGTGACTTTTTGCTGTATTTGCCTTTGAGTATCACGTAAGGCTGTAGTCTATAGGGTTAAATAGGCTAGATTATTTTCTGTAACTTGATTAATGACATTAGGAATTACAGTGATAATGAGACTTGATTAAAGGTGTGGGTGCTGATTCTGAGAACAAGGAACACATTCAAATATGGGAAGACTGTACCAAGACTCCTTCTACTAGTATCTTGTACTAAATAAATATTTCAAGCTTGTCTTCTGTTTAGAATTTACAAGAGCCCTCTCCAAAGTTTGTTGTGCATTGTGGGTTTTATTTTGGAGAGCAAAGGCATTTGGGAGCAGGAGGTTTTTTTTGACTGAGGTAGGAAGTAGTTTCCACTTTTGTATCTAACATACATGTTCTGATACTGGAATATGTCTAATTTGGGGTACCTTTGTGTTATGTTAATTGTTATTTGGTGGCCAAGTTAATAAGATTTTATTGCTTTTACGTCAGTAATGTATAAAACAAAGTTAGAGATGAGTGGTGTGCAGAAATTTTGTCGTCTACAGGTGGTGTTCGTTCTAATAACTTAATTCTTGGCAAAGCATTAGGCTGTCACTGAGGATGAATTTGGCTCTCATTTCTGTATAGAACACTGTGATGCAGCATTTGAAACTCTTCAAATATTAATGCTGGGCCTATAAGAATAAACAGTAGGTACCCCATTTATAAACATTAAAAATGTATAATCCTTGGAAAAGAGCAAGACCAAACTGAAGGAAGATTATGATCTTGTAGGTTTTTTAACATTTTTAATGTTTTTTAACCTTTGTCCTACCTATATGCTTTGGGTTTTAACAGTCAATCTGCTGAATTAATTAAAATATTCTTAAAAAGCCCAAAGTAATTACATCTTTCCTCTGTAACCTTTTCTCTAGGACAGCTGGCAGGAGTTATTAATGGATCATCCTGTTTCTCCTTCAAGAATATATTACCAGTGTGAGAATAATAATGAATACTTCTTTTTTCATATGCTGTTGATTCATCTTAGCTTACCACATTTTAGACCTGTTAAGCATATAGTGGTGTTCACCATGCTGTGCAAAATTAATGACTTACTAAAGAAGATGATCGAAAAGCGGCCGTTGGGAATTAGGATGGGAAGCAAGATGGTTGCTTCCTCTCCCTTCTGTCAGATACCTGGTACTTGTTGGTTCTAGTTCTTACCAGATAGCCGTTGAAAAAAGAGTGTAATGGAACGTATTGTTCTTGCAGGCTTTTACTTGTAAATTAATTCTGATGCAAATTAATTTGATCAAAAAATAGAGACAAAGTATGTTCTGTCATTTTTAAATTAGTGATCAGATGAATTTTAACAATGTTTCTGCACAGAAACAGCCTATTTGTTTTTACATTTGGTTAAGATATTTCTTGCCAATGTATGCCAAATACTCAGTTGTTTGCTTTGAGAAGATAAAGGCCACTGTTAATCTAGAGATTTAAATACTAGAAATAAATTCTCTGCTGCCAAAGACCATTTCAGGTGCTTGCTTTTACCCCCTTCATATTCATGTCAAGATTAATTCTCCTTTACTACTTTTTTATTTAACTGAATGGGTTTTAGTTATCTTAAGCCTAAAAGCTATGTGTTGAGATCAGAATGGATAAGAATAGTTGAGTGCTTGTTCCGTAGAAATATTACATGTAATCAGAACTCTAAATTAACTTTCTAAAATGGGAATCTAAATTAACTTTCTAAAATGAGAATCTTGAGCAAAAAGGTAGCTTGTGTTCTTGCAAAATCTATAGGAGTACATAAAATGAGAAGGGACATTTATGATTGTAAGTTTGGTTTCTTTTTGATCTGTGTAACTCGGAGACCAGAAACATGGAAAGTATTAAACCATATGTTCTCTTGCTTTTTCTGAAGAATGAAGGCCTAAGTGTGGTGTCATCTTCCAGGTGTAAAATACTATTTTGACATAGAAATGGGAAATATTTTTATGTCAAATTATCATATTTTGATGTTCACAGAGACAGAGTGGAGAGCTTTTGTAGTAATTATTGATGCAAGAAGTTCCTGATTGGTTAGACTTTCATTAAGAATAAATACTACTAAGTATCAAACATACTACTAACTTATGTTAGTATTCATTTTTATAAATGCATTTGCTGAGAGTTTAAAGTTTTTATGTTTAGATAGAATCTCAGTTTGGAAGAGGGTAAAGTTTGTTTTAATATGAAATTGATCCTAGTTGGATATTTCCTTAATTTATAGCCAGTCTGCAGTATACAGTAACGTCCTGTCCTGGCGTCATTGCCAGCATTCAAAACATCAGCAGAAGTTCATTTGAATCATAGAATCATGGAATGGCATAGGCTGGAAGGGACCTCAGAGATCGTCTAGTAGAGAAGATAATTACTTTTTGGGAAAGACATTTGTGACCTGTCAGTTTGGCTCTTAATCTTAGTGCAATATATTCTCCAGACTTTATTTATTACTTTCTCATTTCTGTAATTTTGACTAAACTTCAAACCTCAGTACCGTATTTTGGAGGCAGGAAGGTGGGGACATCAAAAGTATATGGTGATGTTGAACCCTAGAAGAAACTAAAGTTTGTGAATGTAATTGGCTTGGAAAATGTAGATAATATCTTATCCTTGGGGTTTTTTGAGTGGAACATTTATTAGCACTAAAACCAGATCAAGACAAAAAGATCAAAGGTAGAAAGAAGATAAAAAACCACTTAGCTTATGAAAGTTCTTGCTTTAATGTGCTGCCTAAGTAAAAACATTTAAAATATTAGCTATCTAAAGATATGAATATAATCATAATTTTCTTTAATAAGCTCAGATTGGAAGTAATCTATTTTTCTCTTGTTCTTCTGATCATCAAGCAAACCAGTAATTATTGAGGCTTAGGGGATGACTTGCGTAGTTACTCCCGTTTGCCTGCTGCAGTGCGTACGGCTGGGCACAGCACCAGTCCCATCTGCTGTGGCACTTATATTTACTTCTCTCTAAACAAAATACAGTCGGTTTCTAAAGCAGTTCTACTGAACTGCTCTTGTATCTCTAGTGTGTTCTAGCACCGTCGAGCCACACGCCTGTGTGTGATTTCTTTTGCTGTGTGTCAGTGCCTTGGTAAATATTTTTGACGGAAATTATATTTAAACTGAAGGTATCGTTTGTTGTGGCTTTCAGGTTGCTGCAGCGTCAGGTTTGGTGCATTAGAATTCTGCTCAAAAAAAGTTCTTTTGTGGCAGAAAGTGAACAGCCTGTAAAAATAAACTTGAGAGTAGACAGTTTCTGCACCTGTTGGTTGTGCCTTTGGTCGGGTTCCAGGAGAAGGCACAGTGTCACAGGGCTACTTAGGACAAAGAAGAGCTTATGTGGGTCCCACGTTGTGTTTTGGTGAGCACTAGAGATCATGTCCTCCAGCTTTAAAGAAAGTTACTGTATTTCAAATGAAACACAACTGTCTGGGCCCATAAACTAATGATGACTTTAATAAGAATTTTGCAGCATCTTTGAAACACTCAGTATGGGTAGCTGCTACTGGCTGCATTTCCCTAAAGAAAATTGCTGATAAATAAACTGAAGAAAAGTCCATGTTTTTCTTTAGTGATTGATTTGACTTAGCAAACTGGGTTACTATATACTCGGTTTGTCAGTCCTGTAAATCTGCCTCAAGGACTACCTGAGATACTTTTTACCCCAGGGGCAGAATTTATCTTGAGTGTAATTTATCCCAGTAGTGGCAAAGATTCTCGTGGCTGGTTTGACCCTGATTTGTTTTACTGAGATTTCTTTTACTGTTTCACTTTGCATAGCTTCATAAGTTGAGTGGTTTTAATAGATTTACACATACACATATATAGAGATATATTTCTGTATAGATAAAACATATGTTTGGATCTGCATATGTATGTTATAACATGTTGGGATTCATCAGTACTTGCTTAAAATTATCTGGATGCTAGTTGTGTTTTGGTGCTACTGTGCATTAATTGATGGGGGAAGGCCGTCTTCTGGTCACCTTTGTGTGTAGCCATGCGAGACCAGCCAGAACGTATTCATCCCTGAGGAAACTTTTCTTCATCTAGCTGGACTCTGACATGGAAAGGAGATTGTCCATGTTCATAATGACTTCAGAACTATCAGAAATGGAAAACAGAATTGCTTATCTTATTCTTTTAAAAAAGAAGAAAAAGCAGGCTTGGATGATGGCCAAATGAAATCTACAAAAGGGCGAACTGGACCACTTGGATGCCCAGCTGTTTCAAAACTAAAATCCTCCTTTTCTGTTTCTGCAACCCAGTAATTTCTTACATTTCTTTAGGTCACTGTTAGTTCATTTAATGCAGTCATTTTTTTCTAGTCTGGAAAGTGAATGCAAATCGTGTGTTGATAGTAATAACTGAAAATAACCTACTGAAAATTGCTCTGTGGGACACAATTTTGTGTGAATCCAAATCAATTTCTAGATATTTGTGAGCTTTTTAAGTCCTTGAGAATGAATTTTCCATAAATTCTTAGGTTGCTTGAGACAAGAAAAATCAAAAGAACTATTAAAAAACAGCTTTTCTTAAAATTACAGGGCTCCAGTCATTTGACCTCATCTTGTTTGTAAACCATAGAGCCACTAGCTTGTTTGAAATTTTTGCTTAGAACCATCTGGTGCATAAGGATTGGTGGATATTTTTTTCAGAGTATCTTTTTGTTATCGTTCTGAATTTTGATTCTTTCCAGCTTCAGTCAGAAAGGGTAGGACTTGATCTGTCTCAAGGATAATTTCTTGATCTTCTGGGTAAAAATCTTAGAAGCCATATCTCTCCTAAACAGTCTCTTTTAAAGTCATAAGGCAATGACATTACTATACATCTGAATGAAG